GAACCCCTAGACACCCATTTCCCCAATAGCGAACACCTAGACACCCATTTCCCCAATAGCGAACACCTAGACACCCACTTCCTCGATGGTGATCACCTAGACACCCATTTCTTCGACCTAGACACCCACTAGACAAACATCTAGACGCTTAATTCCTCGACGGCGAACACCTAGACTCTTAATAATTATAATTAATATTTTATTTTAATTCGTTTTAATAATTATGTTTTATTTTAATTTCAATTAATTATAATATATATATATATATATATATATGTGACAATGTTGCCATCGCTGATTATCACAGCCGTCATGTGTGGTTGATCACATTCGAATGTGCAATGCTGCCATCGCTAGATTAAATCAAAAGCCCTCAAGTGTCGAAAAAACGAGATGGACATTTTCTCCTGGTCCGACGATGATAATAATGATAATAACGATAACGATAATAATAATGACGACGACGTTTCGTAAAATGAGGTGAAATTCATCACAGACCGGACTTTGCGTCGCGATATCTCCGTTCGTAGGGCACGTAGAAAAACAATAAAAGCACTTTTATCACACTATCCGTGTGGTGGCTATCGATTGAGCATACATAGAACGCGTTCGGTTCAGCCGTTATTGATATCCGATAATCTCGATCTGCCGCAAGTCGTCAGTTCGCGTAAAGGAGGCACGGCAGTGTCGCTTCGCGCAGCTTAGCGCCGAGACACTACCAGTGTCTCCAGATTGTATATATAATGCATTGCATGAAAAATAAATGCATACGTAAATTGTATATCCCAAAGTTTGCAATTAATTGTTCCTTCCTTCCTTATGTCTGCGGTATCATGTTACGCGTCGACAGCATCACTGCGTGCGAGAGCATCAATCACCGCGCTCTTATTAAAAATAGAATATAAAACTGGTATTAAAACATGGTAAATATTTCAAATTATTGCTGTAAACCATACGTGCGAGAAATGAAGCTGCGTTCGAGAAGAAGATAAAGCTGCGTTGGAAAAAGATGCATAAGAGCGAGAGAGAAATGGTAAGTATATATGGTAAGTATAGCGCGCGATGGGGACAGGATGCGGAGACCGGCGGCGGACCGCGCCCGGGACCGGCGGCGGCTG